CAGGGAGGGAGGGGAAAAATGAGGACCTAATGCCGGGGGTTTAAGTGGAGAGAAAATGTTTTGAGAATGATGAGGGCAATGAATGCACAAATGCGCTTTACACAATTGATGTGTGTATGGATTGTGATAAGAGTTGTATGAGCCCCTAATAAAATAATTTTAAAAAATTTCAAGCAACTTTATGTGGATTTCAAATTTGTGAAAGAAATGTCAAGCAGAGTATACTCTAAAATGGTGACAGAGAATAATCCAAAATTACAAGAAGTATTTTAAAACTGTTATTGTTAATCTGTATTTTCCATAATAATCACTATGCTTTTATTATAAATTATTTGTAATAAATACCACAATTTTGAGCTTAACAAAACAAAACTACTGGACGCTACCTGCACATACTTACACTGCCACAGGAATTAGGTCCTCCATTGAAAAGGGAACAAGCAATCCTAACAATTTCTGCTTCAATCTTCCGGAGTCCAGGGAAGATATCTGGATGCAGTGGGTTACTCCATGCAAAATCTCCATAAGCCTACAAAAAAAACCAAGCATGTATTACATAAAATACCATACACTTCATAGGACAAAGAGCCATGCATTACACAACAATGTCTCGGTACTAAAAATAACACTAGGAATTGGAAAAAACGAGAAAGGTAAGTTCCCTGACCAAATACTATTGTAGTATGGTGCAGAATGGCCATGCAAATATGTTATTTCATAATGCAGGAAGGGAGAAAGTATGCATGTGGTTCAAAACACAGATGGGGACGGCAAAGAGAATCAATTTGAGTCTTAGCTTTGCCTATCAGTTGAGATGTGATGAAATGAGCACTTATATGTGGCCTTTTCCTTAGTTCTTTGGGAAAACAACTTGAGAGGATTTTCCCTAAGGCCTTTTACTTAGTGTTCTGCCCCAAAGAGTTTTGTAGGCCTTTTATCGAGGTGGATGGAAATATCCTGGCTAAACTGTAAACAACTTAAAGGTATAATATTTTTGTCTGGCCCTGGCCTGAAACCTGCGATGGACTGGTCTATTATACATACCTTGCAGGAATTGCCAATATGCTTAAGCAAATTAAATAACAACAGATCCTTTATGCACATGAAGTGACTATGGCCAACAAGAGAAGATAGGTCAGTTGTGGGCCTGGAAGGAGGGCCATTCCTTGACAATAACCAGCAGTTTGTGTACACACACACACACACACACACACACACACACATACACACACACGAGGTTCACAGACAAAAAGAGAAGAGGGAGAGGAAAGAGAGATGGTGAGGAGGCTCCTTAAAGAGCTGTGACTTGGGTCCAGGCCTGGGAACAAGGACAGTGAGAAGCCTAGAGAGGACCCTGAGGCAGACCAAGTGTCAACATGTCTGAGTCAGCAGTCGACAGGGAAACCTGCCACTGGGAATGCAGCTCAAAGGGCTGACAAACCTGCCACACTGGCTATGAGGCAGTTAGTAGTGTGGAGGCGAAAGGCAGGAAGTCCACCAGCAGAGAGGCCTGTCCCCAGGAAACTGGGTTCACCACGGGGGCCTGCAAGGCTGAGAGAAAGTCTGCTGGCTTGCTTGGCTGAGAGGAGGCAGGGGTGCTATTGAGAAGTGCTAGGGGAGCTGTCCAGGCTTGGCTGGCATGCTTCCTGACCCTGATCCCCAAACTGTACCCCATTCCATCGTAACCCCTAACTGGAAGGACAGTTCTTGAGTTCTGTGACAGAGCTTTGCAACAGATTGCTGACCCAAATGTAGGAGGGAGGGAAGAGAGTTGAAGGGGAGGGTTAGGGTTATTGTCAGAGAAGGAGTGCTATAGTCGCTTAGAAAAGGAAGAAAATTTTATTTAAAAGAAAATGGCACTTAACAATGATGAGAAATACAACCTTCCTCTAGTTCCTAAAGGTTTCCTCCCTGCTCCCACTACCATGACTCGAATTCTATCTTGCAAGACTGGCTAGACCAGAGGAGGTACACTGGTACAGATAGGAACTGAAAATACAGGGAATCCAGGACGGATGAGCCCTATAGGACCAGTGGTGTGAGTGGCAAAACAGGGAGGGTAAAGGGAGAATGGGTAGGAAAGAGGGAACCGATTACATGGAACTGTGTGTGACCTCCTCCCTGGGGGACAGACAACCGAAAAGTGGATGAAGGGAGACGTTGGACAGGGCAAGATATGACAAAATAACCATTTATAAACTATCAAGGGCTCATGTGGGAGGGGGGAGCGGGGAGGGAGGGGAAAAATGAGGACCTAATGTCGGGGGTTTAAATGGAGAGAAAATGTTTTGAGAAATGATGTACAAATACGCTTTACACAATTGATGCGTGTATGGATTGGGATAACAGTTGTATGAGCCCCTAATAAAATGTTTAAAAAAAAAGAAAAAGAAAATGGCACTTTTGCATGACCTTTTGGAAATACTCTCATCTTTGGTGACCTCTGCCCCCTACGAATTGATTTGCAGTGATGCGTACAAGTGTGTAACACAAAGCAGTCCCTGCAGGGCAGTGCCGCACCAGATTTGGGTACTTGGTGCTCACAAACAGCCTGAGTGCTCAGGAATTGTCAGCTGAGTGAATATGGAGAGAACAACAGGATTCATCCCTCAGAACCAGGAGGACATGGAAGAGGAAGAACAACAGAATCAGAGCGAGATGTGTTCAGTAAAGAGATAAGGCTGTATAGCCAGTGTTGATATATGGGTCTCGGAACATCAGGGACAGTTCTGCTCTGTCCTGTGGGGTCCTTAGAAGTTGAAATGGGCCTGATGGCAGTGAGAGGCTCTACAATGTACATAATGAGAAGTCCCCGCAAAGATTTGATGAATAGAGACTTCAGATCAGCAAAGCTATAATGCTTAGTAGCGTGTGAGCAGTTTCAGGTCTCAGAAACACCGGCCTTGAGATCATTTATATGACAAGAATAGAACTCAAAAGCAAGTTTGATTACCAAAAGAAGATGTGAAATGCAATACTAAAGTCAATAAAGGATGAAGCTATTTGAATGAGAAAGGAGACTATTGCTCCTCTAAGGCCATTGTCCTTGAAGTTCAGGTAGCACAGCAAATAAGGCTCACGTTTCTGGGCCATGCCTGTCCTTACCAAATAGGCTCTGCCTTACCAGAAACATCTCCGATGATGGCATTCCCTTCTCTAGGTACGGTGTCTAGGAAGCCTGCAAACATAAGCCAAACCCAAACCCAAACTCACTGCAATTGAGTCGATTCACAGAATTGCCCCTGTGGGTTTCTAAGATATAAATTGATATAGGAGTGGAATGCCTTTTCTCCCTCCCAAGGAACAACTAGTAGTTTTGAACTGCTGGCCCTGAGGTGAGCAGCCTGACATGGAATCTACTTTGTACAGGCTGACAATGTCTTTGACAACGTGACAGTCTGCCTGTTTGGGTGAAGAGAAAATTCCAAAGGTGTGTGGTTTTATTTCCACAACAACTTTCCTTAAGTCACTGTGTGCAGTTACAAAAGGGAGGGAAAGCAAGGAGGTCAGCTCAACCATCAGGGAGCACACATCCCAGTGGATGCAGCCATCACGTGGTGGGGCTTACCTTAACGAGGAGCTCTGTGAGCTTCTCCTCCCCATTGTACACAGCTCCCGAGGCGCGCCCTTCTTGCCAGTAGACATCTGCGGAGTAAGGTAAGGCCACTAGGTCAGTACACAGGGACCTTTGGGAAGACTCTTAGGGTCAGTTTGATACAGTCAGGAATAACTCCAGGGTACAGAAGAACAATGACCACGATTGAATGGGATTCCAAGGACACTCATGTTAAATCAGGAAAGAAAAGATTGTCCATAAATTGCTATCAATGCAAAATAAAGTATAATCTTCACTTATTCCAATTACTGCTGAGAAAGTCATTGAGAGCCCTTAGGCACAATAAAGACAGTTCAGTACAAGGCTATCCTCATCCATTGCCTTTGAAAAGCAGAAGCATTTTCTTGGTCCAGGCTACTGTTCTGTCGTCTAGCCCTAGTCTTCTCCCTCCTCTCCCTTCCTATCCAGTTGTTGGGAGGTGGGGCAGCTGTTAAAACAGTTGGCAGAGGAAATAACCAAAAAGACTCACTGCCACTGAGTCAATTCTGACTCATAGCGACCCTATTGGACAGCGTAAAATTGCCCCTGCGGGTTTCCAAGACTAACTCTTACCTCTTAAGGGGAGTACAAAGTGACATCTTTCTACTGACCTTGCGGTGAGCAGGGTGAGAGCCAGGGAATGGAGTGCAAGTCTAGACAAACTATGATGAGAGGGGACCATCCAGCACCTGGACCCGGGATCTACCCGCAGCCCAGCCGGACCTCATGCCACTGCCAGTGGCTTCTAGCATCAAGGGAGTCCTTGGTGGGACAAACAGTTTTAAGCTCTTGCCTTCTGGCTGAACGGTTGGCAGTCTGAACCCACCCAGAGGTGCTGAGGAAGGTCTGGCAACCAAGTTACCCCACGGAGCCCAGACTGCTCCACACGTGTGAAGTCACAGCGGTCACTATCAGCCCCACCACAACTGGCTGCTTGATTCTATCTTGTTCTGTGCTCTAGCTTACCGCACGATAGGCTACTACCCTGCAGATCAGGGGCACGGTCAACGCTGGATAAAGCTCAGAGCCACAGTTCCCAGAGGAACACAGCCGGAGGCCAGAAGTGTCACTTCCTGCCCACGGCGCTCCCCTCCTGACTTTCTACTTCAGATCCACAAACCTAGTGATGCGGGGGCCTTGGGGCCTTCTGCTGCCACCAGGCCAAACCCTGTGGAAAGCGGGTAACTGGGAGGCTGGTACAGAAACACACCGTCATGGAGTGCACTGCTTAACATGCCTCTTCCATCCAAGTCTCTGCAATTCCCACCGGCGACTGGGCGGCACTGTGCAAACAGGGCAAGTGCCACACCACTGGAGGGGACTGGTCAGCTGTGGTATCACCACCCCTCTCTGGCTGTGAGGATGAGCTACCTGTGAGCAGAAGCAGACAGACAAATCCCTAGACCCCTGGAAAGGGAGCACATTTGAGAGCTCCGTCTGAGCTGGCGGAGCCCAAGGACAGGGCACCAGAGGCTGAGACAAGGAGACCCTGAGACGGAACAGAGGGACAACTCCAAAACTAGGAGACGGTGAGGTAGAGCAGTGGGCTGGCTTGCTGGCCCACAAGACAGAGGCCACGGACTACACGGCTGAGAGCTGAGGATCAAAGAGAGACCTGGCTGTGGGCCAAGAAGAGGTGTTGCTATGGTAAAAAAAAAAATAGATGTAATGTTTTCTGGTCCCGGCTTGTGGTAACTTGTTAATTCTGCTAATATCCCCCCTTAATTGTAAGTGTTATCTGTGAGTTCTGTGTGGGCATTGCAATGAATTCTGGAACTCAGCACAGGAGTGCTGTAGGCAGAAGAGCTGGTGTCAGAAGAGGGTACAGAAGGTTGGAGGGGAGCGGCCTTCTAACCCCTGCCTCACGGCAATAGGGAAGCCAAAGGAGGGCAGATAGGGCCACCCTGTGCCACTGACTGCACACACTGACTGGGAACTGCCCTGGGCCAGAGACTGCACCAAGGCCTCCTCTCTCTGGCAGGATGACAGCTGTTTGGACAACAAATCCCTGACCTACACCTCAATCTAGCAAGCACTGGCAGGCTGTGAGCTGGCTCTAACACTCCCCAGGGGACACTGCTCAGGAGAAAACCCATCTTCAACCAGGGGTGCCACCAGTCTTTTACAAACAGGAAGAGCCCTCTGCTGTTGGGCTAATTCCACTCAAGAGGAACTTGATGGGCGGAATAGAACTGCCCTTACCCGGTTTCCAAGGCTCTCAATCTTTATGGAAGCAGACTGCTTCATCATTCTCCTGGGAGCAGCCCGGGGCTTCTAACCACAGACCTGCCATTGAACAGCCCAGTGCTATCTTTGAGGGAGAAGCAGGAAGACAGATGACTGGAGCCCTGGAATCCCTGGGGAGCATACTGAGATCTGTCTGGGCTGGCAAGACCAATGCTCAACTCACAGCACCAACAAGTTTCCAAGAGACTTGGTCCATGATTTCATTTCTTGTCCTTTTGTTAGTATTACAGAGTATGGCAATGGCCATGTCTTAAAGGTTGGAGGGAAGGGAACATTGGGGCAGCAACCAGCCCTCACAATCATAGGGCCTTTCAATACACAGGCCTTGGAGGCCACCCCCAGCTTTACACCATGAGTATGGACACTCTAGACTCTATCTAATTCTGTACCACCCAAAACACACCAACTAGGAATTGAAAATGTATTTGTCGAAATGCAATGTGGTAACCCTGACTGGACCATGGAACCAAAACCACACTCACTGCTATTGAGCCTGTGTTATGCACAGAGTGGAACTGCTCTTGTGGATTTCCAAGGCTGTTCATCTCTAAGAGCAGGCAGCCTCATCTTTCTCCCAGGGAGCAGCTGTTGAGTTTGAGCTGCTGATTTTGCGGTGCCTAACTGGTAATCTACCATGCTAAGACCCTAGAGTAGAAAAATCAATACTAGTGATTGGAACTCTGGGGAGTCTTTGTAAGTTTATATGACTTTGTAAGAGATTCTGTAGTTTGTAATATTGTACCAATAGCAATCTCTTAGTTTCCACACATGTGAAATGTGCCAGTGTTCTATGGACAGTTTCAATAACTTCAAGGGAAAATAAAATCAAAAGATAGTAGAATTGTTTTTTAAGATTTAAAGACAAACTTTTGAAGTCTTTTCATATAAAGATGTTAAAATAAGGAGAAATTGTGTGAAGAGTCTTTGAGAACTCTGTACCATCTTTGCAATTCTCTGTACATCTAAAATGATCTCACTATAGAATGCTTATTTTAATTATTTTAAGTATGATCTTAAATGAATTAACACAAGTGTTTGTGTAAAAATCTTAATACAATTTATTGAGCACTTACTGGATACAACACATTTACACATAGGATTTCACTTAGCCCTTATAATATCCTTTAAGTATTATTATTGTTGTTTCTAATACAGAGACTTAGAAACTGAGACATACAGAAGTTACATAACTCATCCAAGGTCATATTTAAGTGGTAGAACCAGGAAGTCAATCTAGGCTAATATAATGGGCTGTACATTTAATCACTGAGCTATTTGGTCTGTTTACCTTTGGCATATATGCATACTCATAACCTTAATAAATTTCTGGTATGAGGATGTCAAAAAGTATTGCTACTGCAGGCTCTACTTCATACACGCTTGCCTTCATTCCACACAAAATGGATTGAAATCAGTCTCTGTAGTCATTAGATGACTGCATAGAAGTTCTCTCTGTAAAATGCTTGGTTTAGTTTCATTAGGGAGCCTTTACAAAAAAGTTCCAATCCCAACAGTGGCTTGCCAGGGGAACTGCTGACTCATTACATTCAAAGCAGAGAGGTTGGCTCAGAAGGTAATGGTGAGTGTTCCATGGGGTTCCTACGCAATGAGCAAAGGGGTCCCTGGTAGTGGAGAGGGCTACTCACTGAGGCGCTAACCACAAGGTGAGCACTTCGAACTCACCAGTTCCCCTAGTGGGGGAAGATGAGGCTGCTTGCTCCTGTCAAGATGTCTCAAAACCCATAGGGGGACGGACAGTTGAGATGGATTCAGTGGCAGTGGGAGTTTCCAGTGGTGAGCATGGGGAAGGCTGGGAGCTTCCTTCAGATGTGACTCAAGGACACCTAACCACGGCACCATCTTCACAAAATGTCTCTAAGGATAAGGATGATCATGAGGGGCTCACTCGGAGGTTTTACTGCATTGGTAGTAAAAGGACCAGGAAAGCTTCTCCCAGGAATTTTTTCCCTCATCCTAACTATGTGCTTGCTCATTCGCGAAGGGTAGCAAACGTTGTCCTAGCGGAGTTTTGTTAGAAAGCCTTAGCCCATCCACCCTTCAGCCCCGACCTTGTCCCTTCTGACTTCTTTTGCTTTGAGATCTCAGAGAACACTGCAAAGGAGCACAACCTGAGGCCCTTGAGGAGGCCGAGCTGTGAGAGGGATGCTGGGAAAACGGTCTTCCACAGGCTCCTTCAGGGCAGGGCTGGGGAGATGGAGTCACCACCCTCAGAAGGGGACAGCCATCGTGAACCGAGGCAAGTGTTAACAGCTGACACGGCAACGGGGGTAAGGGCCCAAAGAGCCCACACACGGCGAGCACCTACCCATCGCGCTGTACTCCTTGAGCTGCTCCAGCACGGCGGCCGCACTCAGACCCTGGGCCGGCAGGGCTCTCACATACTCCTTGTCCACTTTCAGGAAGGACATGTTCTTATTAATATCACTCTTGACTTTGTTCAGTTTCTCTTGGATCTACAAAGGCAAGAAAAGGCTAGGAAGGAGCCGGGAGGGCAGAGGATGGTGAGGAGAAGAGCCAGTATGATACCCAGCAAGGACTCAATGGGCCTGAGGAGCCAGAGCTAGGAGAGCATCTTCTTCTTAGACAGCTGTGGTGCTAGGCTGGCTGTTCACTGTGTGCTGACATGTGCAATGACAGCCCCTCACAAATCTGAAAAGCCAACTTCTTCCTCAGAGGTCGAAGAGGCACTCCCCTCCCTCATATGCCTTTCCTCCCCCATGCTGACATCGGCACTGGGACACTGGGCGTGGTTTTGCTGAAGGCAGGCCTTCTGGAGGGCAGTGTTTGGACCCTGCTCTTGCCCTGGCAGCAGCTATAGAAATGGAAGGAGAGCCATCAATGGTACCAGCGAACAGGCCGAGCTACAGCATCCTGTGCAAGTGATGAGGAGCTCCTTCGATACCAGGAACTTGGGGACCCGACACAACTCCCCACGTTCGGAGTAAGAATAACCAGGACTGCATGACATCACAAGCTGTTCACCACCTCTAATGTCTGACCGTCAAATGCGTAGAGGAACTAGGCCCTTTCTGCTTTGGCATATATCCGTTAGCGTTACTCATTTAACATCCTCCTAGCCATAGCTTCAGAGGCATTTTCTTTCATTCACTCACTCACCTCAGCAGGACAGAAGCTTAGGCTGCTGGTACATGCCCTGCCCAGCCACCCACAAGTAGACGCCTGTGGGAAGTATTGGGCTACAGCTTCCCTGCTCTGTCCCTCGGGGCTTCCAATCCCAGCCAGGCTCTCCTCAGGACTGCTGGGAGAGCTCCAGGCGCTAACAGAGCCAGAGCAGCTTGCTCAAAGGTTACTTAGATTAGTGTGTATCCAGTATATACAAACATGCATACTACACATACTACGGTGTTTGCACAACGTCCAAAAGAGTCTAAATCACATAACTTCATATTATCACCAAATGCATAGCGGACACTGACACATACCCATATGTGTCACGCAGATTCTCATAAAGCTGATTGTCAACAAGGAGGACGGAAAGGAAATGCCAAGTAATGAAAAGCACTGAGGAGGAAAACCGCTAGGGCAGGGTAAGGGGGTAGAAGGACAGGGGCTGCTCTTTGTGATCAAAGACTTGCAGGGTAGGTTTGGAGTTCGCCTTACATGTAATAGTTTACACCTATTACAGTGATTGTTCTCAGCAATATGTTGACAAATGTTTGATGTACAAGACCTCATTCTAAACTAGTTCAATGGTCTCAGTGCCCACCCTGGATGATTATAATACAGACAGATCTGGCCCTCAGGGAAATCTGCACAGCGTGGATATGCCAGGGGCATATTTGTAAAGTTGTGAATAAAGGATGGGTGGGTATAAATGGCATGGCATTACAATAACATGAAACATACAAAAATGATAATGAGCTATATTAGAGAGCGCAGCACTACACATCTCCACTCCAATCCTGGCCCAATAGTCTCAACCACACTACCCAATTCTAGCTTCCTAATAGAACTGATTTCAAAGTGAAATCCTTAATTTGTCTATTAATGTCCATCTTTCCTACTAAAACATATGTACCACACCAGGAAGAACTTGGTGGTGCCAGCATCCAGAGAGTACCTGGTAGTAAACGGGCACTCAGTAATTGTGCCGAATAAATGAGTGTGAGTGGATAAGAGAAACACACACACACCACTAAATGACTCAGAATCTGCTTCTGAGAAATGAAAGGTGATTACATAGCCCATTGGGCCCCTCTAATCCTGGTACTTTACACATTTAAGAATGGGTTCTGGAACCCAAGCATTCATTTGCCTCAAACACTGGATGTTCCTAAATTATTACTGAGGTGGGTAAGGAGAGAAACATGAGAAATCTTATATCTTTTGCGGTACGGTCAATCCTCTGTAAGACCTTCTATGACCCCGGACTCCCTCAGACTAATGGGAATTTATTTCTAGGACTTAAAATGACTCGGGATGTAAATACAAGGGGACTTTAAATTGTGTTAAAAATTACGCTCTCATTCTATTCCATTTTCTAGTCCATATTTTGAAAGCTTCTTGAAGAAGCCTACTCATTCTCATTCCCATTCTCTACTCGAGTTATTATTTCTACTTCTCTCTCCAGAAAACCAGCCTGGCAGCATGTGTTTGGGGAAGATAGCACAACGGTCTGCCTGCATGGGTTTGAGTGTGGCCAGGAAAGGGAACCGGGATTCTCACTGAGAGCTAGCCCTTAGGCCGGGACAAAAAGAGTCCAGAGAGGATAGAGGAAAGTCCAGTGGGCAGGCAGGCTTCATGTGCCAGAGGCACACCCTGTTGATCTTCATCTGCCATAAGGACAAAGACAACAGGGTACAAAGGTGGATATCTTACCGCCAAGTGAAGGGGGAGGGTGGAGGGGACCTAGTGCAGGAACACACCACAGAAAGGTACAAAGATCAAGAGACTCACCTGTTATCTCCCTGAAAGGCTGCACCTGGGATCAGCAAACTATGGCCAGGTGGCAAATCTGGTCTTTTTACAGAAAAGTTCAGCACAACATAGCCAGCTCCATCCTTGCCCAGCTGTCCTAAGGGTGCTTTCTTCCCACACAGGCCGAAGCAGCTATGCCAGAGCCTACTGCCGGCAAAGCCTAAAATGTTCCTTATCCAAGCTTTCCGAAGAACCTGTACAGCCGTGAATCGCATTAGCACTCAATCCCCAGATAAACATCAAAATCCAATCCAGCCAAGATGCAGTCCAAGGCATCGGCCCCGTCTGTCAGGTCTCCTGTATTCACATGTTCAATCTGCCTCAAGCTTCTCTCGTCTCGCTGTGGCCCAAACAGATTTGTTGTAAAAACAGTTGAAGTCAGACTGTCTCTACCTTGACAGTGCTGACGTGTGGGCCAGGTCATTCTATGGTGGTGGCTCTCCTGCTCATCCAAGATGCTGACAGCCTCCCTGGCCAACATCCAACCCCATGTGTGACAACCCAACGTGCCTCCAAACACTGCCAAGCATTCCCTGGAGATGGGGACAAAGTCTCCCCGAGAATACTTGGAGAAATAAGTAGAAGAAAGAAAGTACCATCATTAAGGGGAAAAAATAGAAATTCTACAAAGATTCCACTCACCTTGCGGCCGACAAAAGGCATCTTCCTGGCCAGCTTAAAACATTTCTTTTTAAACCTTGACCATAAACCTAATAGAAACAAATGGTTCTATTAGGCAAATAAATGTTCATGGAATAAGCAGCTCATCATAATATGCAAACTATGCAGTATGACACCCACAACCTCGACTTGTCTTCAGAATACCTGAGGAAAGATCTCCTCTTCTCAAAATGTTTGCTTTCAACAATCTTCACAGGTACAGTTCAGTGACATTAAGTATGTCCTTCATAGTGCTCAACCATCACCATTAACCAGCGTTTCTTGACTCTTTTGATCACCTTAACAGAACCTCAGTGCCCTCTACACATCGTGTCTTCCTTTGCCTTCCCTCCCACTGACCTCGGAGAGCCACTTAGAAGTGTTGCTTTCTATGTATTTGCCTAATCTGCAAATTGCTTTCCTATTTCATGAAATCTTTAAAATGTTTGAATAAATACTACATAGTTCAAAAATACATCAATGGACACATACACTGAAAGTGAGACATTTCTCCATCTCTCATCTACCCCCACCTCTGAAGCCAACCCCACCGAGCATTGTGGGGTGCTGCTAAGTCAGAACAACTCATAGCAACCCCGTGCACACGCACAAGCACACACACACGACTCTGTCTTAGGTCTACTAATTTTGCTGAGGGTCAGTCATGCATTTTCTCTGACCCTCTACCAAGGATGATGTCCACCTCCAGGGACTGATCGCTCCTGATCACATATCCAAAGTAAGTGACACAAAGTCTTGACATCTACCATCCTGATGTCCTTTATCCAAGAGAGACTCTTCATTCTTTTGGCAGTCCGTGGCATACTCAATGTTCTTCACCCTCCCATTATTCCAAGGCATCCATTAAGCAATGGAAAGTGTCATGGCTTGGGTCAGGCAAACTTACGCCATCAAAGTGGCATTTTTCTTTTCTAAGATCTTAGAGAAGCTCATTGCAGACTTTTGCCCCATGAAATGCATTCTTTGGTTTCTTTGTTTCTTTTTAGTTTTTTTTTCATTGGTGTATAATTCACGTACCATATCATTCATTGGTTTAAATATATTAACAGGACTTGTGCAACATTCTTTGATTTCTTGACTGCTCAGAAACCTGAAGGGGCAGTTCCACTCTGTCCTATGAGGTCGTTATGAGTCAGAATCACCCTAATGGCCGTGGATTTGGTTCATCCCATGGGTGTTGGTGACACTTTCAAATAAAATGAAACCCTGGTAACTTCACTATTTATCATGATGTTGCTTATTGGCTCATTGTATTGATTGTGTTTCATGTTGAGGTATAGTCTATACTGAAGGCTGTAGTCTTTCACCTTCATTAATAACTACCTGAAGTCCACTTCATTTACTTAAGGTTGGGCACCTGCACATCAGAGAGTCTTAGGAGTCTTCTTCCAATCCTGATGCCACATTCTTCTTTACATGTCCAGCTTCTGGGACTGATTGCCCAGAGTACACACTGAGTACATACAGTCAAAGGATACAACTTCGGCATGCAACTTTTCTGGTATTAAGATCACAGAGCATTCCCTTGTTCTGTGCTAATAGATTAAAAAATTGGCAAATCTAACAAAGTAATGGAATGAGATGATATAAATAACATATTGAAGAAATAAAATGGGAAACATCACAGCAGAAGCTGAAGAAATAACAATAGTGACAGAAAACTATTAAGAACTATACTGACAAATGTGAAAACCTAGAATAAACAAACATATTTCCAAAAGCATACGAACGTCTCCAAACTATCACATAATGAGGTAGAAACATTGAACAGATCCATAGCAAAGGAAGAAATTGAACAGGGCATGAAAAATTCCCATCAACAAAAACAAAAAAAGACTGAGCCCACATAGCTTCACTGGCAAATTCTACCAAACATTCACAGGAGTTCTCACCAAATCTATACAAACATTTCTAGAATGTAGTAAAACATGGAATGTTCCCTAATACATTTATGAAGCAAGCACAATCACACCAAAAATCAGGCAAAACATTACTAAAATAGCAATCTACAAGTCAATATCGTTCATGAACTCAAACACAAAAGTTACCAGCAAAAGTCAAGCAAATAAAACCCAACAACATACTCAAAAAGCTACATATCATGACCAAGTAGGAGCAACACCAGGTATCCAAGGATAGTTCAACATTAGTAAAATAATCACTATAACCCACCACAGAAATAAAAAAGATCACATGATCCTATCAGAAAAGACATTTTAGAAAATCCAGTAGCCATTTCTGATAAAAATTCTGAACAAAATAGAAAGGGAATATCTCAACATAGCTAAATGTTTATGTATAAAACTGATGGTCCACATTAGTCTCAACAAAGGGAGACTGAAATCATGTGTCTTGTGAATGAGATCCAAACAAGGATGCCCTTTGACTCCACTCCTATTCAATATTGTACTGGAAGCCTTAACAAGAGCCAGACGGCAAGAAGGCAAAATAAATGGCATTCAAGTGGCAACGAACTAACTCTCCATATAGAAAATTCCAAAGAGTCAGCAAGAAAACTACAGGAACTACCTGCAGAGTCAGCAAAGTGGTAAGTTCAAGATCAATTTGAAAAACAGTCAGATTTCTTTACACTCACACAGAGAACTCTGACATGGAAATACCATCTACAATAAGCACCCCACATGAAATACTTACTAATAAATCTAACCAGAGAAACGAAGACCTGCGCACAAAAAGTAACAATGAAAGAACATAGCAGACTCATGAATAGGAAGATTGTTAAAGTCAATGTCAATACGACCTGAATCAGTTTATATATGTAATGCAGTCCTGATCTAGAATCCATCATCGTTCTTTAACGAAAGAGAAAAATGAATCACCAACTTTATGCGGAAAGGAGAGAGAACCAGATAAACAAAGCACCATTAACAAAGACCAAAGTAGAAGGCATTCACACTTCCCCATCTCAAATCCTACTACCCAGCCACGGTAGTCAAAATAGCCTGGTACTGGTAAACAACAGAGATATAGACTGATGGTACAGAATTCAGAACCCAGAAGTAGATCTTTGATAAAAGACTGAAACTCATTAAATGAGGAAGAGACAGTCTCCTTAACAAATGGTGCTGACAAAACTGAAAAGCCAATTATAGAAAAAGGAAACAGGGCCTGTTAGGTAGCTGGCATAGGGCCTGGGGTGCTCATTACGCATGATCAAAGGTTCCAGCTTCCAGCCAGGAAGGGGTGGTAGGTGGGCATTACGCCTAGGCTGGCCCATTTGAATTCAATTCAGACAATGGGGTTGACCAGTATAGTAAACCATGCCTCCCAGGGGAGGACTTGAAAAGGCAGCATCCAGAGCCCACCAAGTGACTTTTTCATCTTGAGAGCAACTTCTCGGCAGGCTGCCTGGGGGTGAAGGGCCCTGGCGCTGCAGTGCCTATGTAAACCTGAAACTTCTCCTATCTTTCATAAAACACACTTGGATCACGAACCAGACTTCGGCATGAATTCTTTCTCGTGCGAAGCCAAGGACCGAAATATATCTATCCCACGAGAGAGATCTAACAGACCCACATCTCACACCATATTAAAAATGAACACAAGGTAGACCAAAGGCTTCAAAGTGAAACCTAAAAAGAAAGACATCACAGAAAAATTGCAACAAGCTTACAGGTCCTGAGGCATGGCAAAATATATTATCAACCATAACTTAAAATGCACAAAGAGCAGAAGACACACTAGATGAGAGGGATCACCTAAAAATTAAGACACATAGGCACATCAAAAGAATTCAGCAAAAGAAGAAAAGTAGAAAACACAGCCTGGGGGGAAAATTGGCAATGACGTATCAAACAAGGAATGAGTCTACAAAATATATAGAAACTTCAGCACTTCAACAAAAGAAAGACCAACAGTCCAATTAAGAAATGGGCAGAAGGTATTAACGGACACTTCAGTAAAGAAGACATTCAAGCAGTCAGCAAGCACATGAGAATATGCTCGCAATAATTAGTCATTCAAGAGATCCAACAAAAGAGAGCAATAAGAGATATCCTCCCAGCCCTGTATCCGTAACAAACAAGAGGAACAACCAATGCTGTTGAGGGGTCGAGAGACTGGAACCCTCATACATTTTTGGTGGGACTGTAAAATGGTACAATTAGAGTGGAAAAGAGCATGCACTTCCTTAGAAAGCTGCAAATACATATACCACATAATCCAGCAATCCTACTACCTCTCTATCTTTGAGAAGCAAGAGCTGTGACACGAGTAGACAAATGCACAGCCATGTTCATGGCAGCAATATTCACACTAGCAAAACGATGTAAATAACCTGAACGCCCATGACGAGAACAGATGAACACAGTATGATGGCGAACACACAATGGAATAGAACACAATGTTAAGAGTCCAACAAGCAATCTGGGGAGACACCTCAGAACATGGATGAACCTGGAGGACATTACGCTGAGTGAAATAAAAGACTCACAAAGGACAATACTGTATGAGACCACTCTTACAGAAAGTCAACAGAAGGGTTATCCACACCTACAAACATTGTCGCCAAGGTGGGAGAAGCACTGGAGGGCAAGATCAATGACTAGCGAGTAGACAGTGCTCCCTGTGTGAAGGAGAAAGCAGAATCAGCTAAGAGGAAGGTCAGTAAAAAATGATGATGACCGAGGAAGACACTGGGAGGAGTACAACACGCAGGTAAGAAGTGGGATATATGTCATTACATTGTGGAGACTGCAGTCAACGACATGAAACAAAATGAGTACAAAGTGTCGAGTGGAAAACAGATGTTCTCTGTAAACTTTCACCCAACTCACAAAATGCCGGAAGGAAGGAAGGAAGGAAGGAAGGAAGGAAGGAAGGAAGGAAGGAAGGAAGGAAAGCTTGATGGTCCACTGATGAAAAGTCAACTCTTGAAAGCCCGATGGCACACAGCTTTTCCCTGACACACGTGGGCTTACCACGAGGGACAGCTGACTCAATGACAATTGGCAATGGCTTTGCATCTGCACTAGTCTTTGTTTCCAGTGTGTCTGTGTCTTTCCACGCCTAGCACTGGAGCACACACGAGAATGTCTGGGACACAACCAGGACACTAAGACACACTGTATGCACAGCTGCAGAGATCTTTCTGTATGCAAAGTACTGTGGTCTCTGCTCACGTCTGTAATTTCCTATATCACTCAAGATTCATCCTAGATAAATTTTAAGTAGTACAAAACGGCCCGCCAACTGAATATAGCCTAATGTTAAATAGTTAAGGTGCTAGTTATTAGAACATTCCCAACAACGTTTCAGTTGACGAAATTAAAAACCACTTCCTTATTTAGCAGATAAAGTAATTAAGTAATGAGACAGAAATCAGTCCAAACATCTGCAAATGGTAAGTACTCTGACCAGGTGGAGGAGAAAGAATAGATTAATTTTATGGAAGCTTCAAGATAAAATGATGCAGGGCAAAAAGAAGGGATTGAAGGATCAAAGATGGAAGAAATTAAATTTGATAAGATAGTGTAGTCATGGGTTGAACATAAGTTATCTCAAACATGTAATTCCCAAAGGAACAGAGAGTAAGCTCTTTAGAAATGTCTAAGGTAACACATCGAAAATACCAGTATGAAGCACAGTACATGCCTCTTTACAGCTGACAAATTCCTGCCACATGAATTACGCCAGAATCCTCATAGAAGCCCTGTGACGGGGACAGGCAGGCATTGCTATAGCCATTGTGCTGTGAAGAAGTAGGCTAAGTGAATTTAGGAGTGTTGCACAAGATGACACGCTGGACGCCAGGTTTGTTTACTACTTCCACTCACGACAGAAGACTGATTTCCGTTGATGCACTGTGGTCGATCCAAGGAAAAACCACCATTAAGAACAGTATCAGCTGATAAGCATGGAGCAGCATTACGGAAGAGATAACCACTCAGAGAGCAGCCAAGCCCTGCCCAGACCACTCTGCCTGCCCGTCCTCTTGATACTCGTTCAGTTTTTAACTGCCACGCCCTCCGACCTTGCTACAGAATTCTCTCCCTACTCTCCCTTTCAGGAGGAGATTTAGAGATTGAAGATCAGCAAAGTTTATCACTAGTCCAAACTTCAGTCATCTTTTGAGCAATATAGTAGCAATAACTCGATTGTGAAGCAATATTAGAATACTTTTACAGTAGGAAAGCCCTAGAGCAATAGGGGGGAAAAGGCAATTCTCTCAAACCAGTCCACAATCTCTAGAAGGCAAACATTCTGATTGTGCTAAATTCTAGTCAGAACTTACAAAATTAAAAAGTGTGCTGTAGAAGTATGTGAAATTGCCAAGATTATACATCTCTGAGCTACAAAAACTACTTGACATCTGGTTCCACCCGATTCAGATTGAGATACAGGCACATTGGTCACAGAACTTCAAGCTGGGACTTCTAGCCTATCTGTATTTTCAAAATTTCCTATATTGAACATGTATTTATTTTGTATTAGAAAACAGTACATGTTACAAAAACAAAACAATAAAAAATGTCTTGGAGGCCAACCCACAAAGATTTAGATGTCATTTCCCATTAATAGATGGTTATTCATGGTTTTCTCATGACTGCTCATTGCCCAGACTATTCCTGTTGGAACACTAAGGGCAGGTAAACCCAAGGAGGCTGTGCCTTTCCTGCCAGTTCAGCAAATCACAAGGGCACAGTGAGCTGCAGAACCACACATGAGGTGAACCCCAAACAGACTGTGTAATCACAGCAAGGAAACACAAATCTCGCTAGCCCAAACTTGCTTTCACAAATGCACCTTCTTCAAAAGAAACGTGTCATTTCTGCTGCTCCTCAGTCCTGTGAATGGGACACTTCTTGTGAGATGGCAGATACCACACTCATCAGACAAAGGCTTCCTGAGAGAGAAACAAGCCAGAGCAGAAAGACAGGGCTTTCCCCACAGCCAGAGCCAAGTGCAGCCACTCTACACAGTTACGAGACAATCTGGCAAAGAGTAGGAATGGAGACAGGAGAACTTTTTAAAACTCGAGAGTGAACTAAAACATTTAGATAGTTTGGTCACGCCTCATTCCACTTTAATTCAAAAGCACTAAGCACTGCATTTTGCCTCTTGGTTGTCATGTTTTGCAACGCTTACTAGGTCTGGAATAGAACAATGGCTACCTGCATGGTGAAGATATATATATATATATATATATTTACATATATCATATACATATATAACACACACATTATCAAAACACAAAGCCTATCTTCTAAAGTTGACGTTACTGAGGGAAGAGGAAGTAAGCAGAAATGTACAATTAAAGAGGCCAGTCAATCTGCTAAGGAGGTTAACTCAGATGCCCTACGATAAGGTGACCGGATTTTAACATTGGTAAAGGAGGACACCATTGACAAAACTCATATCCTGGCGAAATAGGCACATGGAAGCTAAAAACCGTATACCATAGTTGTCATGCATTCTTTCCCAAAATTGGGACTTTTTAAAAATGCCGCGGGATGTGGGAAAAATTGTTAAAAATCGGGACTGTCCTGCCAAAAGCGGGATGTCTGGTCACCTTACAAAAATGAGAGATGATGGGCAGAGAGATTGCTATAGAAGATTCTCCAAAAACTCTACCTTTTGTGTTTGGATAAAATTAAGCAAAAGCTACCAAGCACAGCCTACTGGGGAAAACGATTCACAAAGTACTACCAGGCAGCAGGACTCTGGGTGAGGAAAAAGAGGTGGGCAAGAGAGGGGCTTAAACCTTAGGAAGAAGGAAGGATTTGCTAGCTGACCACTTAGACATTTATGCACCTTGTTCAAAAGAAAAGTGTCTTTTCTGCTGCTCCTCAGAGTACTGCCTAAGCAACAGCCTTGTCAATCAAGCGTCCTGAGTTGTCACTGCCTAAGGAGCTCAAGGGACACTACCCCTGAAATGAAAGTTCTGCTCTAAGAGGACAGGGACCCTATATTACTTGTATCAGTATCACAGGAGCCTCGCACAGTGCCTACCCAATAATGGGGACGCAGATGGTCGCTGCATGAATGTTATTCTAATTTCAGCTAATTTTTATTGAGATGAATAAGCTAAAATGAAAGCAATAAATTCCTGTTTTAGGAACTCCAGGCAAGAAACCAGAATTCCAGACGGTTTCAGTCACACTGTGATATCTATGGATCCTTCTAAAGTCTAATTTCTGAGGCGTTTCTATGTAAGCTGCTCTAATAAAGATGTGGGGAGGTGTCTGAGCTGACTTCACAAGAAGGAAGGGGACTCAGTTACCAGAACAAAGTCCATCTCTATCAGATGGAGGTCAGACATGCCTTCACCTTCCAACCTTCTCACTAATTCTGACACCAACCCGAAACTCTATTTCTCTACTGGGCTCAATAATGCCTTGAAATGGCCACAAAGGGCTCACAGACAGCACTCCCTAGTATGGAGGTCGTTGAGGAAGTTAACAGGTTACAATTCAGGATCAAAAATTCTCAGGATACAGTTCTTCCAATTAGGAGAACTCTTCTGGGCTGTGCCCCCAGGCACACCTCTCTCAGGTCCTCCATCTCTCAGGCATGTGGTCCCTTGGCCTCTTCCCTGCCCAGGCAACATTACTAAGCTCTTTTAGAATTGCCAGTAAATGCACACCACTCTACGTTAAGCTTCAGCCTGAAGGCTCTCAGCTATTGCTGGCCACATCAGCAAACCCAGCTCCCTCACTAAGTGCCTGGGAAGTTCTTACTTTGCAAGAGAGCCTCCTGACCAGTGGCACTCACTTTCCCTGTCTCTGTGTACTCGGATTCTGGGTGCTGCTGCTGCTGCTGCTGCTCCTGCGCCATGGCTCTGCTACGTCCTTGGCCTTACAACTCTGTCTCTTGGGGTGAAGAGGTTCGGTGTGTGCGGGATTCTTGAGGTCCAAAGGAGGTTCTCCACTCTCAGCTCTTCTCTCTTAATGGTAGTGAATCTCCTCTCCCTGCTTGTTACTCAGACCCAACAGACAAGATGGAAATATACCCAACCCGCATGGTCTCACCGTCATTTGGTGGGAGTCACCAAGACAATGGTTAGAAGAGCCATATCAAGAACATCAATGTACCACAGCTGCAACCCAAGGAAACCAACATAAATGGCATTCACACTTGTACAATAGTTCTATTATAACCTTACCAACTGTAACGTATTGTACAGCTTTCCGATGAAACAGATTTTAAAAATCAGAACCAAACAAAAACTCACGACATCGGGTCATGAGTTTCAATGATAGGAAAATGCCACCTCAATGCCTTTCCCGAGAATGACAGTATACTTACTCTCTTGCTGGAAGACAAATTCATATACCCAGACCACCAACAGGGTCCACAGAACACTCCATGCTATTAGCTGCCATGGCTCATATTTGGTGCAGTGCCCATTGATGTAATTCTTGGCCTTTGTGGAGTACACTTCCAAAATCTCAAAGTAGGGCTCAAAGACCTTCTAGAAATGCAAGAGAAAATAAGAAACATTACTCTCAGAAAGAAAACACAGTGTGTTCTTTGTTGCTTAACTCTCCTTTTCCAAACTCAAGGCCATTCACACTCAGGCCCCACCCAGCAATACTCTTGTCATCTCTGGATCGCTCTAGCTCCTGCTCTAGGGGCACCTGTGCATACAGCCACTCACCAGCTCTGTGGACGTGGACAAGGTCTCTTCTGTGAAACAAAAAGCCTGAGCTAGTTCATCACTTCAACTCTCAGACTCTCTAGTGCAGTGGTTCTCAACCTTCCTAATGCTACCACCCTTTAATACAGTTCCTCATGTTGTGGTGACCCCCAACTATAAAATTATTTTCAATGTTACTCCATAACTGTAATTTTGCTACTGTTATGGATCGGGTGGCCCCTGTGAAAGTCATTTTTGACCCCCGAAGGGGTCGCAACCCACAGGTTGAGAACGGCTGCTCTCAAAGTAACCCTCTCTGCTTGAATGTCATTTCTTTTCTCCACATTATTTCAACCTGCCCCATTCTTTTTCCGGTAAAGGGCCAGAGAGCAAATATTTCTAGGCTTGGTGAGCCACATCATTACAATTAAAGTCAGTGAAAAAGCAACCACAGACAAGGTGCAATCATATAAGAGAGGTTCTGTTTCAATAGAAATTTCGTTTACGGGCACTAAGTTTTCCTATCAGTTTCGAACGTTAAAAACTATCTTCTTTGGTTTTTTGGTGTTCGGCTTTTTAATTTTAAAAAAGAACAATCATTTTTAGTTCATGCGCTGCACAAAAATGGGGGCTGGCTGGGTTTACCACTAGGCCATCATTGGCCCACACCTGCTCTAAGTCCATATTTGACCATAAGGCTCTTAATGCCAGGGAGTGTAGCTAATAATTATTTTATCCCTCACAATGCCTGGCACTAAAACAAAGGGGGACATCCTCTATAAATTAACCAGAAAACTCCACTCAAGAGAATAATCTTGCACTTTAAATGTTCCTTGTGAATTCACCTGTGACTCAGTCTACAGCTTATCACAACAACCTGTCTTGCAGCTTCCTCACCTCTTTCTTATGGGCCCGACTCTGTGGGTAAGCTCCTGGAGGAGAGCCCCTATCACGGTGCCCTGAACAAAACAGGTTTATCTGATAGCTTGTTATTCGTTCACCTATTTACCATTCATTAAATAAGGCTTAAGTCAGTACAAGAGGAAGACTAAACTTTTACTTCGCTAATAGTTGCAGTGTCGGAAACTGACCGGGGCAGTTCTACCCTTTCCTATAGGGTTGTTATGAGTCGGCATCGACTCGGTGGCAATGAGTTTGGTTTGGTTTTTGCATACAGCACTAGTCTTTGCCCTTAACTGGGTTTACAATCAATTGGGAGAAGCATGCGTGCACACACATACACATACACACAGACAATCAAATTCTCCAGGATAAAAGCTATAGCAAGGATGTAAGTGAAATGCTAAGGAAGGCCTCTCCTAACATGACTTGAGAGGAAATGGAGAAGATATGGCAACAAATAAAATAAACCTGGTTAAAAACGTCATCCCAGGCAGAGAGATTAGCAGCATACATAAAGAGAGCCTGGGGCGTTAGAAAATAGCAACATGTTCTATGTGGTTAGAGTGCAAGCTACATGAGGGCAAAGATCATATCCATCAAATCCAGCACTAAATCCCCAACATACGGCAGAGTGCATGGCACACCGTTTGTACTCTAAAAACCTGCACAGTGGCTGGCAGTGACTGAGTGAATAAGCAGACAGATCAGACACCTGAGACTACAAAAAGCGTCTTAAAAATACATTTCACTAAACATGAGAGGGAGTTGAAATAGATAGGAATCTTTTGTAAAGTCCTCTATCAGTATAGTTTTAAATGTACACATTTATTTTGACCAGAAATGTCACTTGTTGGTATCTACATACCTGTACATGTGCACAAAGAGACATGTCCAAGGAGGTTCACCTTGGTATTCTTTATAAGAACAAAGGAGAACATATATGAATGATGTAAATGTCTCTTAACAGGGCCTAGATGTTCAGTAAACAATGGTGTATGCATTTTATGTGCCCATAGTGTACAACATCAAAAAAACAGATCCACAGCAATTCCATTGAACTTTTCTATGACTGAAGGTTGAGTTTTAAAAAAATTACAAAATGAAAACAAAATAGGAGCATGTATTGTTAAGTACGCAAGGGTTTTTTGTTGTTTTACTTTGAAGATAATTTGGAGGGAGACTGAGTAGAAGGCAGGCAGTGGTTAGAGTAAAAAACTTGGGTTAATTGCAAAAATAGTCCAGGGGAGAACTAAACTGGATTTGACCTTCGGGAGTAAAACAGAGATTTTTAAAAAGTACTATGAATGAATATGAAAAGGAGCCCCAATTGTGCAATTTTTACACTCTTGGCTGTTAACCAAAAGGTTAGCAGTTTGAACCCACTAGAAGCTCTGCAAGAGAAACTAGCTGTCAATGTAAAGATTGCTGTTCTTCATAAAGACTGTGTGCCATTGGGTTGGCCCAGACTCACAGCCTAAAAAATTCCATAGTCAAGTTGTGTAGGGTGTCTCTGAGTTGGAAATGACTCAACACTTCAGACTGAAGGACAGTTTGGGAAACGGAACTAGCATAGTTTGGAAACTTACTAGATACGGGAGGCGTGGAATTAGGAAGTGGGGCCCAAAAGCCCACTGCTATTGAGTCTACTGAGTCACTCTACCAGACAGAGTATAACTGCCCCTTCGGGTTTCCAAGAGTATACACCTTTACAAGAGCCAAGAGTCTCATCTTTCTTCCTTGGATGGCTGGCGGGTGTGAACCACCTACTTTGTGGTTAGTACCATAACACCTAACAGTGGGAAGAATCAAACAGTTCCAAAGTTTGAGAGAGCAGGTGACATCATCAACCATGATAAGACTAGAAGAGGCAAGAAAGATTAAGAAGGTAAAAGAGATTTTTAGAGAAAGGTCATTGATACTGGTTTAAGTTAGGTTTCTATTGGATATCCACATGCAATGTTCTAGTAGGAGTATGATAACTTAGGAGGACAGGTGTTCGATGAATGTTTGTTGAAAGCATTTATACCCTTAGCAATTATACTGTGGTGTATAAAGTAATTAACTTTAGGCAAGAATTGGGTTCCCTAGAGGGCCATCCATGGAAACAGCTTATTTGCAACCCCACCATAGCTCTTGGAGGCCATTCCCAAGAGCCCACTGTTGCTATCAACAATATCCATCCCGCAGAACAGCAGCCATGCTGCTCAAAATCTAAGACAGGCCAGAGGGGTCTAGCATCATCACAAGTATTTTTTGATCCCCGTCATTATGAAGAACCTTCCAGCATTAAAGTCGTGCTTAAACCATACGGTTGAAGAATGTGTAGAAGGGGATGACAGAAGGATAATCATTTGGATCAGCTTTTCTTCTGATAACGATGATGTGGTTGTGTGCTGTGGAACTGATTCCAATTCGCAGCAACCCCAAAGGACAGAGTGGAACTGCCTAGGGTTCCCTCTGATAAATACTAGTTTCTAAAATACGCAGCAAATAGAGGTTTTCAATGTCAAAAGATATCTGTAGATACTTAGCAAATAAAAATAAATAACTGGCAAATAACCAGGAAATGAAAACTAACTTAATTTTTTTTTCAAACATCAAGATTCATGCATAAAGACATTGCTCATTGAGATGTATAAAATTATATTCAGTAAGAATATATATTTTTGGTAACCACTATGCTAAGATGATCATGGGAGTCCTGGAACTCCAAAAGGATACTTTAAGAGGAGGTCTACTTGCTCTTACTCTAAAAGCAAAAGGAGGCTAAATTGGGTAACTCCTGGAAAACATTTTTAGTAGTGGACTGAAATTAAAAACTCAAATTCCCTGCCACAGGGGTCAATTCAGACTCAACAAAGTAGAACTGGCCTGTGGGTTTCCAAAGCTATAAATATTTACCAAAGCAGAAAGTCTCATCTTTCTCAGCCTGCTGGCTTTGTCCCAAGGTCTTTCACCAGCCCTCGGTTACTACAAACAACCTAGGCTCCCCAGTGATGGCAGTCACAAGACTGCCAGCTCTCAGCATTATTGGGCTCTGTGGGGTCATGCATTTATCTCTTTGGAAAAAAAGGATGAGGCAGTCTCTAAGGACCTTAAAACTAGCACAACCCCCCGCGCTGGGCCCTGATGCAATACTCCAACTCTTGGGAAGCACTGAGTCTAAGAGCTGGACGGCACCCTCGGGATCAAGCCCAGCATTGGCTCTTTATAAGCAGAGACCGCAAGGTGAACGGTGGGCCAAAGTTCAAGACTAGGAACACAATCCTTCAGACTTGCTATTCAGACCTCGTTCAAGTCTTGAGTCTTGGTGTCCATTGGCAGGGATCACCAAACACATAGGTTCCCAATTTTATTTTGCCTACTTCCCCCTTTACAGAAAAAGAAAATTACTCAATGCCACTGACAATTAAAAGCTTTTGTACTATAGCCCATAATCCAGGATAAAGACTAGCAGCACCCCACCCCCAACTGAATCATTCAGTGCCCCCAGGGGGTAGTGTCACTCATTTGGAGAAACACTAGTTTAACACATAGAATCCAACAGCATCCTCAAAGCTTTCTTTTCACAGGCCACGTTCCTGGCAGAATCCACCCTGGATATATGGTGCAGCTCATAACGAACTAATATTGGATAGCCCAGGCCATGACTGTGGATAAACCCTGAGCTAGAGATGGCATCAGCACTGCTGGAATTGTAATTACTATTTTATGTGCTTGTGCTGCAGCAATAAGCACCTTATCTATGTACACCTGCATATATATATCTATAATACAATACTTAGGCTCCTATTTATTTCATATCAGTCTATGGGAACGATGAATGGTCATCAGTGAAGACCACCAACTTAGTATGCATGTCCTCACAAATATCTCACTAATCTGTGCTTCCATTTCTTTATGCAGATTAGAACAGATACAAGACTAACAGA